ATTCTTACTTCGATCTTGCTAAACAAGGCACCGAGTTCTGAAGAAGTAGTGGATTAATCTTCTACTTCCATGATCTGTTTCTCTCAATCAGTATAATATTTTCCTTAAGATTGTTGTTCATCATGTATTCCAAAGATACTTAGACCAAAACTTTGAAGAACTTGGTTAGAAACAACAAAGTTTAAAGAGTATTTTCAAAACTAGAAAATTAAAACTAGTAGAGAAAATAGAATCAGAAATAGATTAGAAACAGTATACAAAATATTTTTCTCAAAGAAGAAAATCTAGCACATTGAATGCACTGTGTCCCCTTAAGGAAATTATTACCCTCAAGTACCGAGGTTAATGGAATATATCCTCCCAGGATAGAACAATCTTACTCACCGGTGTATCTGTACCTAAAATCACGGTGTCAGTGAACTACTCAACAGCAATAAAGTACACTTAGAATACTAGATGTAGTAGTAGTAGAAGAAGTCCATAATATTTGTTCTTTTAAAATGAGAGGAATCCCTCAATTTTTAGAAACGAAGGGTAGTGTGAAAAGGTTCTTATTGTGCCTTACCGGAAAGTTCACAACCCTTTGGAAAAGTTACAATCTTTCGGAAAGGTCACAACCTTTCTTAAAAGTCAAAACTTTTCATAAAAGTCACAACTTTTTATAAAAGTCACAACTTTTTATAAAAGTCACAACTTTTTATAAAAGTCACAACTTTTTATAAAAGTCACAACTTTTTATAAAAGTCACAACTTTTTATAAAAGTCACAACTTTTTATAAAAGTCACAACTTTTTATAAAAGTCACAACTTTTTATAAAAGTCACAACTTTTTATAAAAGTCACAACTTTTTATAAAAGTCACAACTTTTTATAAAAGTCACAACTTTTTATAAAAGTCACAACTTTTTATAAAAGTCACAACTTTTCATAAAAGTCACAACTCTTCAGAAATGTCACAACTTTTCATAAAAGACACAATTCTTCACAAAAGTCGCAACTCTTCATTTTCCGTTCACACCTTTTGAAACCCAACAAAAAGGTAAATTACTAAGCACTGAATTTAAAGATACAATAATTGTTGAAAAATTTCTTGTTATAGAGCAATGAAAGATATGAAGCATGTATTACAACCTTGGAAAACATACAAGATCTGTCCACAATTACCTTGGTATAATTGTTAAATTCTTTGCAGTCACAGGAACAAAGGAGGCTTATGAGACAAGATGACATGGTTGAAGGAGCATTAATAGCCAGCCACAAAACTCAAAGCAGTGGTAAATTCTTGAGGAATTACCCACCTTGTCAGCGTTGTGGTAAAAAAATGACATCCTCCATATAAATGTTGGAAGAGACCAGATGCACAATGCAAGATCTGCAAACAACTTAGTCATGTAGCTGTAACTTGCAAAAGCAGATTTCAAAAAGATGAAACATTTGTCGAAGTCACCAATGAAGAAGAAGAAGAAGACCACTTATTTATGGCAACTTGTTTTTCAACCAAAAATCTGATTTTCGGATGATTGATAGTGGTTGTACAAACCACATGACATATGAGAGAAATCTTTTTAATGAGTTTGTTCCTATGAAAAACAATGAAGTCAGAATTGGGAATGGTGATTGTATTCCTTCAAAAGGAAAATGGTCTGTTGCAATTAAAATAAATTCAGGTACAAAAACTATTTCGGATGTTCTTTATGTGCCTAATATTGATAAAAGTTTGTTTAGTGTTGGTCAGTTGATAGAAAAATGCTTTAAATTATTATTTGGAGAGAAATATTGTCGTATCTTTGATTCTACTAAGCAAGAGATTTTACAAGTTGAAATGAGAGGTAAGAGCTTCTCATTTAATCCAACAGAAGATGCACACAAGTCTTGCAAGACAAAAGATGAATTGACAGATTTGTTCACAAGGTCAATTTCAGATGAGACTACAATCTACAATTCCTAATCCAAGGAGGAGTGTTGAGAATATGTCTCAGGATATTGCAGATATAAAACAGTTAGCTACTTTTAGGGTTTTTAAATTATTTTATTAAAGTCCTATGTGACTTCTTCTTTTTTGGTTAAATTTAGGCCAGAGGCCTTTTTATTTCCAAATAAAGTTGTACAGGGCCACAAATGTGACCAACAAAAACAACTCAAAACAAAACTAGTCCAGCCCACTAGTTCTAACATAAAGACCCTTTAGTAGGTTTCCTAATCCGCACTCTCATCATCCATTGTTTCCGCCACCCTGTCTTCCTTGAGAATGATGAACTCCAATTGTCGTTTCTTCAAGTGATGAGAGGTCCAACAATCATAGATTCAACAACTCACAAAGGTAAGCCACTTCCTCCTTTATCTCCTCATTCCCATGGATACCTCTAATCTTCTTTCTCTTGCTGATGTAGTGGTAATGTTGTCCAAATGATGTTGGGGATTTGATACCAGATGCGCAAACCAAGCCCTTTGGCGGTCGACTTTAGCTGGTGACTCCTTTTTGTAAGTTTACATAGCTTAGGCTAGGTAGATTAAGTTTATGCACATTTCTGAAAACCTGATGTTGGCTGAATATATCTCTGTAAATAACTTTTATGTGATCTCTAAGACTGTGGTGTCCCTCCCTTTTCATTAATGAATGTTGATGTTTATCCTCCTCGTCTTTATTCTCAATGTTGATATCTGCGCTTTATCGATGTTGACCAAGATTTTGCAATCTCAAGGAAGTTGTGTAAAACTGCTCACACTTATTGGGCTCTGTTGATCCAATGTTATGTTTACAAGTTTGTTTGCTACCTGGTTTGCTTCCCTGAAAATATGTTTAATTATACATCGTAAATCACTTATGTGTCGCCTTATCTCCTCTATCTGGTCGCTGAGCTTCCGAGGTATCTGCCAATCTTTCACAATAAAATTTCTTATATTGATCGAATCAGTCTCCAAAATTATATTTTGTAATCGTAATTCCCTACACTTTCTCAGCGCCATTATGACAGCATTTGTTTCTGCCTCCATACTAGTGGTAATGCCCATACATCCTGCTTCTGCTTTAATTAAATCCCCACTGCTATTTCTTATGCAAAAGGCATATGCGCTTTCTCTAGGGTTACCCCTACTTGCACCATCCGTATTGCATTTTATGTATCCTTGCTCCGGTAGTTCCCATCTCACTGCCTTCCAGTGAATCTGTGGCTTATAATTTTTCAACATGAGTATTATTCGATTCCATTCACTAGGCAGTGTTATCCACGAGTATTTCATTTTCACCAATCGATGCACAGCTACCAGTACTTGCTGATGCATATATTCATAGGAGACTTCTTTTCCATGCCTTATGTTGTTTATCCTCTTCCATAGTTCCCACATCAGTAGCTGTCGAATGGCCTTGTATACTATCTCAATTTAGTTGGGGCTGGTTCGAACCACCATTTATGTACAGTTTGTTGTAATTGTTGTCCTCCCATATGGATACCTGCACAAGTAGCAAAAAATCCCCATAGCTTTTGGGCTATTGGGGTTGTGAGAAATAGGTGAGACATGGTCTCATGCACATAAGTTTCACAACAGTAGCATCTTGAAGCCAGCGATACCCTCATCTTTCTTAGATTGTCCTCCGTTGCAATTCTCCCTTTTGCGACCCTCCATAGGAAAAAAATGATTTTGAATGGAATTTCTTGCAGCCAAATATTTTCCAACCAGTCTTGTTGAGGTTTTCGATCCCTTACTATTTCAAAAGCAGACTTGACCGAAAAAATTCCACTAGTGTTAGGCATCCACCATGGCTGATCAACTTCATGTTGCCTCACATTCAACTTTATATTCTTGATTATTTGAACCACTACCTCTTCTGACACCAACTCACATAGCTTCTATTTATCCCATTCTCCATTGTTGATACACATTTGTACCTCTATATCTTCCTCACCGTCATCCATATCATTGGTTAGATACAACGCTCCTTTTCTTGTCCAATTATCGTACCAAAAACTAGAGTTTCCTGACTTAATTTTCCACCCTATCTCCTATTCTACCTCTTCCCTCATCTCCACCATCTTTTTCCATACATATGAAGCACCTATCGCCCCAGCTATAACTGAATGTTGTTTCTTACAATATTTATTCCACATATATGTTCTCCATAATGAATCAGTTGAAACTCTAAATCTCCACCATAACCTACTAAATAATGCCTTTGTTACTCCAGGTAGTGTTCGAAAATCTACTCCACCCTCTTCTTTTGGAAAACACATGTATTCCCACGCTACCCAGTGTTTCCTTCTCTCTCCGCTCTTTCCATTCTAGAAGAACTTCGCAAAAATGCGATGCAGCAGATTTATCACCCCTTTCGTGGGATTGATAGCTGATAGAAGGTATAATGGCATTGATTGTAACACATGAGTAATCAAGATGTACCTCCCTCCATACGTTAACAATTTATTCTGCCAACCTAATAATTTCTACTCAATTTTCCTCAGAATATTTTCATAATGTGAGTTGCATTTCTTTCCATAATACACTGGGCATCCAAGATATGTGAATGGAAAGGTACCCATTTTTATACCTGTTAATTTTCTCAACTTGATTCCCACTGCTAACGGTGTGTCGTCATGTAGATAAAAATAACTTTTCTCCTTATTTATTAATTGACCAGAGACTCTTTCATATTTCTTCAACACCTCCATCATTCTTCTTACTGAGTATCGATCGGTCGACCCAAACAATATCGTATCATCCGTATATGACAGATGATTTATCTCTGGGCTCCACTTTGGCATTCCATTGCCCCTATATCTTTTATCCTCATGAAGTTGGTTCAACCCTCTCGATAGGACCTCCGCAACTATGATAAACATGGTGGGCGATAAAGGATCGCCTTGTTTCAACCCTCTTGTTGATCTAAAAAATCCATGTGATATCCCATTCACTAGGACTGAATACCAATTATTTGATATTAATCGCCAAACCATGTCCGCTATCCTTTCTGAGAACCCAAATTTCCACAGCACCTTTGTAAGAAAAATTCACGACACTCTATCATACGTCTTTGCCATGTCCAGTTTTACCACCACATTGGGGTCTTTGCTTCTCAATTTTATATCTCTAATTATTTCTTGGGCCAGAAGCACATTCTCAGTGATATTTCTTCCTTTCACAAAATCTGGCTGGTTTCTCGAGATGATGAGTGGTAGACACTTTATCAGCCTCTCATGTAACATTCTTGAAATTATTTTATTTACAAAGGTGCTCAGACTGATCAGCCTAAGATCTCCAAAAGTTTTGACTTTTTCCTTCTTTGGGATCAGTATCAAATTCATATGGGTAATGAATCTAGGCAAGTGCTGAGCACTAAAAAACTCCCTCACCATATTTGTTACATCCTCCTTAAGAATATCCCAACATTCCTGAAAGAAGTGACCCGAGAAACAATCCGAACCACTTGTACTATCTTTATTTAGCCTAAACACCACTTTTTTAACCTCTTCACTGCAAGGGGCTATTTCATCAGTCTACTCTGGAGTTATCAAATTTAGAATCACCTGTAACAGGCCATAATCTTCATTGCAACTATCTTCCCTGAATTGCTCTTCGAAGTAAGCCACTGTCGCAGCCCCTATTTCCTTCGTGGACGTAATAGTATCACCATCTTGGGTTTTTTGCATGTCATGAATCCTCAATCTCTCTCTTCTCGCTTTCACAAAGTTATGAAAGAATTTATTATTTCTATCTCCGTCTTTGAACCACCTCATTCCAGATTTCTGCTTCCAATATTCTTCCTCAATATGCCAATATTTTTTTAATTCCGCCTCAGCCTTTTTCAAACTCGACCTATTGCTTTCCAAAGGATGTATCACCAGCTGAGCTTCCTGAATTTTATGACATTTTCCAGTGTGTCAATTTGTCGAAAAATATCTCCATAAGCATCCTTGCTCCCTTTTTTCAACACCTCCTTGATCTTTTTAATTTTGGCTTGAAAATCATAAAAGGGCAACCCCACGAAGTCCGCCTTCCAGTTTGCTTCTATCAGCCCCTTGATGATGCTTTGTCCAAAAGTTCAAAAACCTAAATGGCTTCACACAGGGTTCCTCCTCTGTACTGCATATCACATGTAGTGGTGCGTGATCTGACCCTCTTCTGGTTAAATGATGGACTTCTGATGCCGGTAGCAAGTTCATAAACGCATGATTCCCTATTACGCTATCCAATCTCTTGAATATTCAATGCTCATCTATCATGTTGTTCCACCACGTAAAATTACTACCTGAGTACTTCAATTCAACTAGCCCACAATTGTTTATACATTGAGCAAAGTCTATCGCCTCCGATTGCATGAATGGCAAGCCACCTTGTTTTTCTTCTTCATTTAGAATCACATTAAAATCACCTCCTATCAACCATGGTTTATGTGATTGTTCAGCCACCTTTTCAATAGCATCCCACAATTCCAGCCTCTCTATCACACTACACCTGGCATACACCACTGTGAGATAAAACTCTTTGTTATTAAGCTTTACCCTCAAAGTAACCTGCTGAACTGAGTCCATAATTATCTCAACTTTTCGCTCATCCTCCCTGAATAGCCATATTTTAGCTGAACAATTACAAAATGCGTGAGTAAATCCCAATTTATTTTTGTGTTGCTCTATTTCATGAGAACGTTGAAAAGGCTACAACAAAGCTATAAATAAATATCGGTGCCTCCTATTATGGTCTATTATTCGCTCAAAAGCTTTCTGAGTGTTAACAGACCTTATATTCCAAAAAATTATTTTACCGATCATTGATCACTATTATACGGTTTATCCTTATTACTCCTTGTTTTGACTTGAAGAGGTATGGTTTTCTTCTTTCCACTCTTCATGTTATCAATTTGTCTTGGTGACAAATCTCCATTCCTCGCCGCACTTAGCATGTTCCCCTCCAAATTGTCATCTTCCCTATTGTCCCTCATTTCTTGCACTTGTGTCACTGATAATTCCTGCATGTCTGGAATATCTATTCTCGTCTCCAAGCTTCTGTTTGGGGTTTCTTCCACTATGTCACCTACTGGTTGATTATCATTCCTCGTCTTGTTGATTGATTGAACTTTCCTCATCTTTTTCATCACCATTTCCTGTTAGGGAATTTGTCACATTCCCTTTGCTGATTGGTGTATTCCCCATATGTGTAGTATTATTTGTGTCACCCTTCGTTTTGTTGCTGAGAGTGTTGTTAGTCCCCCTTCTACTTGTGGCTTCCAAGCAGTTTCTCATGTTGTTCTGCTTCTACGTTTCCTTGCTCCTCATTGTCATTAGCTTGTTGATTTGCCATAGCTGTAAATTGATTATTATTGTTTGTCTCTTTTGGATGCCCTTCTAGCTTTTTCGTCCACATCTTGTCAGTTTTCCTCCTACCTTGCTGTCATTCTCTCCCATTTCTTCTATCTTTCAGCACCTTAGCCAACTCCTCATGTTTGCCCTCCCCTGTATCTTCTATTGTTCTTTCCTTAACCTCATCTATTGATTTGCTCTCCCCCTCTATCTTAGTCGGGTATAGCTCCGGATGAATGACATAACATTGTTGATCATCATGACCTTGAATCCTACAATTCTTACAATATTTAGGAGCATGATAATACTTGATTCGCACCCATCATTCTGTAATCTCCCCTGTTTTTCTCCTGACACCCACATTAATCCTTTTGGGAAAATCTCTTAGTAAATCCACCTCAACTTTTACTCGTGCACAACTTGGTCTAGTCTGATTTTTTGTAGCCATTTCTATAGTGGCCAACTGTTGCAGCCAGCGACAAGATTGACTCTTGACCAAAGAAGTTTGGTGGCAATGATGGGAAAGAGATCCATGCAATTGTCGTTGTTGTTTCCTCCTCCGGATCGAACAATGGCTCCCATTTCAACGCTCTCATGGGATACGTCCAATTCCTATGTGCTATGTAGAAAGCGGGCTTTGATAATAGATTAACATAGTCTTCCAGATTTACAGTCTAGATCAAAATATGCCTATTACTCAGCAAGCCTATGTTGCATTCTCCCTTCAGCTCACATTGTTTTGGGATCAATTTCCGCAAATCTTGGATGTCCAGCCATCCATAAGAGAACTTCCCAATAACTTCATACTGCAAGTTTTCATTCTGAATCATCTGCTCTACTTCTGCTTCCTCCCAGATCACCCTAGGTTCCCCATGTAAGTAGGTAATAGGTTTCATAGGTATAGGCTTCTTATTAACCGTGGACGGTCATAAGATATTAGCATAGTTACTTCGCGATTGATCCAGTGATCCCAACGGATTGTCTAGATCAATTCTTGGTGATGTGGTGGCCATAGCCACCCGACGTTTAGTGTTTGACGACGGCGGCGGCGGTTAAGTTGTCACTAAATTGACACTCTCTTTTATCTTTTTAGTTAGTCCTATGTGACTTGAATTTAGGAGTTAGTTCCTTTATTTGTTATTTGAATTTTATAGATAAGCTAGTAGCATTTTTTTCTATTTTTAGTTAGGAACTATATCTATAAATATAACTCTTTGTATTATTAATAAAATAATTTCCTTTGACAATTCTGCAGTATTTTTTCTCTCAAAGTCTTTCTCTGTTATTTTCTTAATTTCTTTATTAAAAAATCAACAATACATGATATGGTATAGTGTTTATATACTTTTGTTATTTGACCTGTTAATTATAACATGTTACTGTAATGATCTTTCCTTTGATTGGAGTATTTGTGTTCTACTTCATGATTTGTTGAGCATGCTTGTAAATTGGCATGTTTATGACTTGTTGGTATGGACGATTCGGCTTGATACCAAAAAAAAAACACTCGAATGCTTTGAGAAAATTTTAGAATTCAAAAAATTGGAGTTGAAAATTTTGGTGCATATACACATCGTAATTATGGAGAATAAATTTCTTCTTGCAGCGTTTGCAAGGATCAACATAGGGTTGATCAGTCAGGAAGAAATTCATTCTCCACAATCACGATTCTCCAACAAACGATATACTTCATACCAGAGGTCAAACGTGATACCTTTAGACTCTAATTAATGATAAGATAGTACAATTACAGCTCCTTCACAATCCTCGTTAAATCCTATATCATATGTTTGTCACATCCTCCTTATATTTTTTTAAATGTACATAAAAAAAAGGAAACTTCTTAATTCTAATATTGCACATGGCTACTAAAGCAAAACAACATTTTTATTAGCTCATTACAAATTTACAATTATGCAATCAAAGTTCACCAACATAAAATACACTTTCTAGGAATTTAATAAATAAGAACAGAAAAACAAATTATTCACCCCTTCAACATAACAATTCAAAAATTATTAGTTTCTGAAGGCACGGTGTTTTCGAATTTCCCCTGCTTTCCCAGTAAGGACTCCAATTTGTCTCATTTTCACCATTGATTCGCCAAAATCCTTGAAGAAAGTTGATCCATGCAGATATAATTGAGACAACACATAATCTTTTGTTTGAGTATTTGTAAGAAGAGCTGCATCAGATGCGAACAACCCTCTTCTTTTGCTAACCATTGTGTCATAATGTGTGTCAAAACTCTTGAAACTTACAGGGTCCATTTCAACAATTGTGGTCACATCTCCAGACTTACATTTTATCTTCCAATGATTAATCTAGTTTTGGTCCATGTTTGGGTCCATGTCACCTTTGCCACTTAAATTGTACAAACGGCTACTAAAGGAAAAGCAATGTGACATCCCAATTGCGTGTCCTCCTATGTAGACAATAAGGAGAAGAAAGAAAAGAGTAAAACTAATGCACTCTTCCACTCAATCAAAGGGCGGTCAATTGAACAACCTTTTGCGAATGTTACAACTTCAATTCTTATACATGTATATGAAAATTTTGACATTAATTTATTTATTACGATGCAAATGAAAATTTACCTGATAGAACAACAAGGTCTTTTACATTTAGGCCCAATGCACCAAATGTAGTTTTGAGAGTAGTGAAGTTATCAAAAGGAGTTGGCAGGTTTTTTGAGGCCTCTAAGAGAATTAAGACTATTCCATCTCTTCTTCCTAAGGGGACTGGCCATGTTGGTCCATTTATCTGAAACAACACATAATATATGTATATGTTTCAAGGAAAATAATAATCGAAATGCTAATAAAAGCATATCCAATAAATATTTTGTTTCCTTTGTTCCAATTTATATATTGTACATATATAATTTAATAAAGCAAGAAAGGTTTTTGAAAATTTTGGTTAGTTACCATTGAAACGGCGTCACGGGCTGTTAAGGCTAAAATATCAGAGCAAGAGACAATGCCAGGGCACTCTTTCTCTAAAGCAGATTTAGTAGCATCTATCACTTGAAACCCTCTTAGGCTTTGATTTGGAATTTCATCTTTCTCTGTTTTATTTCCTTTTGTTGAATTTAGTAGCACTGATCCATCACATCCCTACATACACCAACAAAAAGAAGAAAAAAAAACAATTATTTGCACATATATATCTTGACGGACTAATTACTTTTAACATGATGTGATATATTATCCATTTTGGACTAAATTATTTGCACATATTGCTAGCTTCTCAATCTTTCCAACTACCAATATAACAAAAGATGATCAAATAAATAAAAGAATTTTAAAATAAGGCATTAAATCACCCTAACAAAACAATCATGAAAATGCATTCTCAACAAAGGGGCAGCCAAAGTAGGAGCAATAGAAATGTAGTGCTTTGTTGTCTCTTTCAAAATTATTTCCACATTTGGACATGTTTCATTATAGAACCCTACTTCCACTCCTTCACAATTAGCTACCAAAAAAAGTTGAAGAATGAGAAAACAAAGAAATTTTAATGTTGCCATTGTATATTACTCTATTCTTATGTTTTGAAGAAATTAAAATCTTTAAGTGATTGATGATTCATGATTGGAATACACAAATTCATGCCCTTTAAATAGGAAGCAAATGATGATATATATCAATCCTTGATTTATTAAAATGGTAGAGCTGGTACTAGAAAGTTGATTTAATATTTAGCAGTTAACACCTTCTAAGCTAACAATTTTTTTAATGTTGCAAATATCTACTCTAGTATTTCAATTGTAAATACTAATTTAGGAGACTTGCGAGTTTTTACTTAATTAAAGAAAATTTATAGCTATCATCAAAAATCTTCAAGAAATAGATGAATTTCTCTTTGATCACTGTTTGTATTTCCTCTAGAAAATGTGAAGGGTCTAACGGGCTGATTAATTAGCCCAATATTAATTATTTTTCCATATGGACAAACCAGAAAAAGAAACAAAAAGGAAAAAGATAACTAAGAACTTGAATTAATAAATTTTTGTGTGGCTGATTTGTTAAAGATATATTGTTATGGGTGGTTTGGTAGCCAGTACAGAGGTAATTTATTTATATATTAAATTTATTTAAAATAAAGGGAGTCTATTTTTCCAAAATATATATGTAGAAAATGTAGCTACTTGGAATTGGTATATTTCTATGATTTTGGATAATTTTATCACTCAATTACATATATTCTTAAATGAAATTTTTCCGTCCTTATATTTTATTTTCTTCAATTAAATTTTTGCACTTCGAAAATCAATGGAATACCTCAGCTTTGTAAATGTCACGACCCAAACCGTCGTGATTGGCAGCCACACTAACCATCCGGTGGGAGAACCACTACTACAACCCAAACAAAGCAACTAAACAGAAAACTAAAGCATTTAAGGATACGAACGCAAAAATAATAGCTAAAAACTGAAGTTTCCATAAACTTCCAAAAGATCTAACAACTAAACAATGCGGAAAAATACCTAGAACTTAAAAGTCAATGTACCAAAACATCTAACAATGAACCAAAGTCTAAACAAGAAGGGATACAACCCCAAACTAATGCACTAAAAACTAACTAGAAAAGTCTAAGTCTGAAATGTGGACATAGACGAAAGGAGAACTAATGGAAGCCTGGAAGAACTAGCTCACCCTTGAATTCGAACGATCACTGATCTTCTTAGCGAGGTCTGTGAATAGCCGCCTGAAGATGCCCTGTACTCAACAAAGAAAGAGCAAGTGCAATATCACTACACAATCAAAGTGTACTGGTAGGATCACGCGGCTATCCCACT